GTAAAGTAACTAAAGGTATTAAATACATGTAGTGGAGTAGAAGTACACCATTTACCTCTGAATTGTAGTGGAGTAGAAGTACACAGTAGTAAATTGAAATACTCAAGTAACGTATCTCAACATGTATACTTAAGTACAGTACTCGAGTAAATCTACTTAGTTACTTTACTTTAAACCAATTCTGACTTTGATTTCAGAATTATGACTTCGAAATTTGGTATTTCAATCTTTATTATTCACCTTATTCATTTATTTTATATTCTTTTACTGTATGTCTTCATTTTGTGTTATGTCCTTTGCTTCACAGAGAGGGATACTTGTTTATTTTATTGTATGTTACTGTTATTATCATACCTATTTTACCTATTTGTGTCTTTTGAATTGTTATATTATGCTGGCAAGTTTGCAAAAAGCTTTGACTTGTAGTCAGTTTTTAGTTTTAATATGTGATCTGTCCCATGTTGTCAAAGCACTGGGTTTATGAAAAGTGACTTTTTGGTGATTTGGCCCTAATCGTCTTCCGTAGTTCACACCGTACAGTAAATGGCGAGATGTTTCTTTAACAGTGGGAGGGGTTTCTCTTCAGGGCGGGATCTCTCTGACAGGAGGAAGAAGCTCTGGGTGACTGGCAGCCGGGGATCCAACCTTCAAAAGCCGGCTGGTCTTTATTTGCTACTTCCTTTACATTTTTTTTTACATAAACAGGGATCTATGGCTTCCAAAGGGATGAATCTGTGCAACGTTTGCTGCCTGCTTCTCTACGTTATTTCGGCGGTGCTTGCAGGGTAAGTCTGTTGAAAATGAGAAAGCATCTCCAGGTGGTACACATGTTCCTCTGTGATTGGTCCACATCACTTCTACATGTGTTGTGTGGACTACAGTAGCTTTACACACCGAGATAAATCACTATTAAGTATGTATTTATGTGTGTTTGATATCTAGCTAAACGGTTATATTCAGAAGTTTAAATGCTGTGTTTTGAATGACTAGTTTGCTCGGTTAGCATGGAGCTAGCCTTCAAACCAGGAAATGGCTGTAAATTGAAGCCGATTTTTGTGAATGGACGTAGTGGTCAAACGTTGGTACTACAACTTGCGTGACGTCATTTTGTCACAGAAATACCTTTTCCCATTGACTTACATTGGGAAAGAGACGTCTGTAAATCAGTGTTTAATGATTTTTTTCAGCTAAATAAACTACCCAGCACAAACACTTTTATATAACTTATTTAAATACATTATAAAATGCACTGAAAGCTGAATCTAGAGTAATTTTCTCTCTCCATTAATTTGGTATGTTAATTTTTATTATTCATTTATTGTATATTCTTTTATTGTATTTATTCATTTTGTGTTATGTCATTTACTTTACAGCGAGGGATTATTGTTTATTTTATTGTTTTACTGTTATTATCATACCTATTTTACCTCCGCGAATTGTTATATTATGCTGGTAAGTGTGCAAAAAGCTTTGACCTATAGTGACATTTCTTTTTTGTTTTAATATGTGATCTGTCCCATGTTGTCAAAGCACTTGCAGCTGAACTGGGTTTATGAAAAAGTGCTATACAAATGCCCGTATCATCCGGGTACTTCCTGAACCTACAGTCGCTCCATTCTTGTCTTCATGCGCCACTGAGCAGCTCTCATAGGAATGAACGGTGTTTCAGTTCACTTTATATATCCATGCTTCACACCGGCTTACTACTCAGTTCTAGCTTGTTGTATATCACCCATAACACATTAAAACATACATCTAACTGTTTCATTTAGCTTTCTATGTGTCAGTCCATTATCTCTTCTTAATGTGACCCTTTTCTTTATTATAGGCGAGATTTCTATGCTATCTTGGGGGTGACAAAGAGTGCATCAATCAGGGACATAAAGAAGGCCTACAGAAAGCTGGCTCTTCAGTTACACCCCGACAGAAACCAGGACGACCCCAACGCTGCAGACAAATTTGCAGATTTGGGATCAGCTTATGAGGTGGGTGCATGCTGTCTATATCCATTGTTTTTGTGTTTAATGCAAGTGATAACCGCAGGGAAGCACAGTCAATACATGTGGATTTAAAAGGTGGGTTTAGTTGCCTAAATGTCATGAAACTTCAGAATGAAAGTGTATATATTGAGCGGAAATATGAGATTGTGTGCGGAAGAGCCTGAAGCTACGTTACAAGAGGGTTTTGTACTCTAGCTTTTTGGTTGTTGTTGGAAACGGTAGCTTCACTGTGATTGGGCGACTAGACCGTGTGGCTGCTTCTGATTGGCTGTTGCGCGGCACAGCTGGCATCTGTAAAAGCCAGACGTGGATGAATGGGAGTGGATTCAGATAAGATCTGCAGGTGTTTTAGTATCAAATGTTCCCATTGCATTTAAAAATAACTGGGATTAGTTGTGTTGTTTGATAAACAAGGAGTGGAGTACATGTGGAGTATTACAAGGTTTACATTTTATTCCTTGATAATAATAATCTATAGACATTACAATAGACATTACATGGACACAAACAGAGAGTTTGCCATGTTTAAGGAAACATTTGATGGATATTATCATACTTATTTACCTGTATACACATATCAGCTTATATTAGTTTAGTTTACTGTGCCTTGATAAGAGGAATATTATGTTATTATGCATGTTATTATGATTTTCTTAAGCTAGTTGAAAGAGAGTATCATAAGAAAACTGCACTTTAAAATGTAATTGTGTCTTTTTTAATTGGTGCTTTGTGTGTTCACTTTATTTTGATAAAAAGAGGATTATTGGAAATTCTTTTTTTAACATTTAACAAGCGATTTGTTGTAATTTAGCTGTGTAGGCTACTGAAAGAGGGAGTGTTCACTTTAATATCTGATTATTTAATTTGCATTTCATATTTGTATCTTAATATTCAACTACGCTGTGTCCAGTTGAACAGGTGTACTTTATTCAGGGGCCAGTCAGTGTTAAAACAGTCAACAATTTCCCAAGGATATATGTCTTAGGTTAGTATGTGAATAATACTGCTTTTCTCATTTTTGAAATCAAGTTTTGCTTAGGTTTAGATGGTGTTTGTGTTCTGTTATATTGTTGTACTGGATGACATTATGTAAATGGTTTCAAATGCTGTGTGAATTAGAACAATGTAGAATATAGTACGTTCTTTAATTGTTGTAATTTAGCTGTGTAGGTTACTGAAAGAAGCAGAAAGGCTGAACTAAGTGCACTTTAATATCTGATTATTTAATTTGCTTGTGTATTTTAGGTGCTCTCAAACGAGGAGAATAGGAAACAGTATGACGCGTACGGAGAAGACGGACTCAAAGAGGGTCACCACGGCTCACACAACGACATCTTCTCCAGGTGCGTTTCATGGGTTCAGGTCCTATTACAACACTGTAAGCCAATGGGATACCTTATTTTACAAGTAAAGGGTTAACCTAAAGTTCAGTTCACTAAAAACAAAGAAGGTTTTTCACCTGAACCTTGAAATGTCCAGCTGTGCCGGTAATTGTGATCCTATTTGCCCACGTTTGCTTCCTCCACCCGATACAGTTACAATACATATAACGTTTTTTGTGTCGCTAACAGCTTTGAAAATGTTATTTGGATAATCAACAAACTTCACTTTGAACAGTTTACACAGAAGCTATCTTTTATTTCTTAGCAAATAAATAGTTCATACAAAAACACCCCACGTTGTTTTGATATCAGAATCAAAAATCCTTTATTTGTCCCGGGTTTCTCGTGGATTAGTTTTATTATATAATATTATCATTAGGTGGATTATTGTGAGCAATGGGTCCCAGTAACCCTGTGTCAGTGTGACCCACATTCTGAAAGCAAACATTAGGGTTGACTTTTTAAAATCGATTTAATGTGTTATTTGTCTCCTCTCTCTCTGTCTTTCTGTAGCTTCTTTGGTGACTTTGGGTTCATGTTTGGAGGAAACCGACAGCAGCAGGACAGGAACATCCCCAGAGGAAATGACATCATACTCGACCTGGAGGTCACGCTGGAAGAGGTGTACTCTGGGAACTTTGTGGAGGTGAGGAGAAGATACCTGGGTTGTTTAAAAATCAGCTCCTAAGTTCTAACCCTATCTCCTATTCCTTGACCTCTGAGTGAAACGTCACGGGGTTAAGGGATAGTGGATAGGAGAATTCAAAAGGACTTAGGAGAAGAGACTGCGGAGGCACACAGGGGATAGG